GCCCGCTGGCAGTCTGCTGGCTGCTGGGCCACCCGTAGGGAGGCAGTCTGAAGGCAAAGTTGGTCTGACCCCTGTTCAGGACCCCAGGGCAGGCCCCACCCCAGCCATTCGTACCTAACTTCCTCAAACGAGAAGGACCCAGTTCTTTGAAGGTTTTTGAGCAAAGACCACCCTGGCTGCTTCAAGGTGATTGGGGTCACTGTGGGCTTTGGGTTCCCATACTTGCTAGCTGTCGGCTGAGGGAGGTGGCTGCTGATGTCTGTCCAGAGGCTCAAAATAAGGAATCTGTCCTGCGGGAGTGAGGGTTTGGTATCCTTCAGACAGAACCATTTGGAGTTCTATGGCTGCTATACAAGTCACGGCACCAAATGTATGTTACCAGGGAGACGTAAAGATTTCGGTTCTTGTCTTCTTGAAGGAAAGATTTCAATCAAGAGACAAAGTGTAGCAAAATAAGTGAGAATTTATTTGTCACAGAAAAAAAATAAATAAATAAATATATACACACACACACACACACACACACACACACACACACACACACACACTTGGGACAGTAAAACAAGGACAGGCATAGAAGAAGCAACCGTAGAGCCGAGGCTGGACTGCTCTGGCTCACTGATAAGTCAGAGACAGGGGGCCTTGGAGACAGGTTCAGGGGAGTAGCTCAGGACAAGATGCAGCTGCCTGCTGCTCCCCTGGTTGCAGTGTTGGTGGGTCCCTTAGGGGAAAGAAGGGGGAAGGAAATGGCAAGGATGTGCTCCTGTGGGGGAGAGCATGCTCTGGGTTCTTCATCCTGAGAGTATTTATCTCTCTTGCAGGTGGAAATCATAGGGGAGTCTCAGGGGAGGGTCTCAATAGAACAGTCAACAGTTTATCAGGTGTGCTCCTTCAGGGATGTGGTCTCTACTGATGGGTCGGTGCCAAGGCAGCAGGTTATTAATCAATGTAGCATGGCATCACTTGTCTGGTTTTCCTGCTTTTCTGGGTTGTAGCTGAGATATTACTGAGGCCTAGAATTACCTTTAGGGTGGAAAAGTTTAGGGGGCCTAAACTGCATGACTAGTGACATGAAAAGGCAGGGGGTCCAAACCGCATGACCAGGAATACGCTAGGGTAGGTCTCTCTGGGGGTGAGGTTCTGGTTTTCCCAGTTTTGCCAGGCATCTGGAGCTGTCTGCCCTGGTGAGTTTCTGTACCTGGCTCATCGTCCTTGCCCTGCTCATGTCTGTCTAACTGCCTAAAACATTATCAAGTTGTTCATCTTCAACTATATTAATAAATCATCTGAAAAACAGCCATCCTGTCAGAATCTATGATAACAGCCAGAAGATGAATGCACTGGTATAGATTTATTACAAAATGTTCTATTTCTGTGAACAAAAAAAGGATACATGCTAACCTGACTAGTTAGGGGAAGGCCTTCATGGTGGCTTTCCAAACTCAGAGACCTAACGTAACCACAAATTAAAGGTTTTTTTTGTTTTGTTTTGTTTTGTTTTGTTTTTACTAAAAGCAGTTTATGGTGAATAGTCCTAGGCCAGCATCTTCCCTGACAGCGGTCAGTCTTTGCCTTATGTGCGCCTGTCTATTGTCTTTTTGCATCTGTGATAACATCTCACTGGAATGTCAAAGTAATTATCCTTTTTCCGGACCTCTCAAAGCACACGTACACTCTGCACAGACCATGAATCCCCTCATTGTTACTGAGTTAGTTGTTGACTATTAACTATCCTGCACTCACCTAAATAAAATAAGTATCTATCATTTTTTTGTTTATCCAATCCCAGAGGTTTCCCTGCTTTGTTTCTCCCACTTTTCTAATCTATCACCAATGGATTTTTATTTATTTATTTTTATTTGATTATAGTTTAACATAATTGTCCTCATCCCCCTATTCCGATCCCAAATCCCTCCCTACATATGCCCTCACCCCTATGTAACCAACATATGTCTTCTATTTTGATTATACTAATGTGTAAGATAAGGTGTGAAACTACCATTCTCTGGTGTATTATCTCAATCCATTAAGATTTTGCTTCTCGCCAATTGTTGGGCTCAAATAAACTCACAGAAAATCTTCACAGGTTTGAATGTTTCCTATGTTGACAATTCCCTTGGTCATAGGGTTGTTTTTTGTTTTTGTTTTTAATTAAAGAGGCTTTATTTGGATACTAGAGTGTGCTCAGGCATATAGCTCCAATCCACCTCCTCTCTCCCCTCTTTCCTGGTAGGTCTCTCCTCCAGTTAGTGGAGATTGGATACCCTTTGCTGTAGGAATCACTGGTTTAAACTCTTTGAGAGCAGCAGCAGCTAACATTTTTCTAAGCATTTACGAATAGGATAAGAAAAATCATTTTGATAGCTCCTCTCAAAAATCTTATGTATTAAAATGATGAAATGGACAAGAATTTCATTATATTAAGAACCTCACACAGACTAAACCCTCTGAGGGGAGAGTGCTCATTTACTGATAAAAAAAAAAAATGGTAAATGAATGCATGCATCCTATTCTTTTAAATTCTATGCTACATGCAACAAACCTACAGGGATTTCTTTTAACTTAGGTTTTAGAGACACTTTCATAGATAGCTATCACTTTACAAATAATCTGTAATCTAAACTGTCTCATTAAAACCATGTCAATTTCACCTTCTTTTTGGCCTCCTAGCCCACCACCTGAAATAATAATAATAAAAATAATGACTCAGTTACTTATGAAAATGATTGCAAAGGTCTTACTAATCCCACTAGAAATTTAAATGTGATCAGAGGACAAAAAACAATAAGGAAAGAAACCCTAATGCCAGATTTTCAGCCACTGCCTAAGGACGCTCTAGCATTCAGGAATAACTGTCTTCTTTGGATGAAATATCTTAACATCTGATGTCATAATTTAAAGAAAACTGAATTTTTACAAAATCTCCTGGTAATTGATATTACAGACTTCTTTATGGATTAAAGTCTTCTATTCACGTTGATAAATAGATGGGGGGAGGGGGAGGATCTCTGGAAGAGTCCCAACTGTCACAGTCAGCCTCTTGGGTGATTGGAGGAGGTAGGGAAGAACAGAAAAGACAGTAAATAGAATGTCTAACTCATCACTTTGGAATTAACCAAGCATAAATAAGACGGGGAAAGAACAGTAAGAAAGAAGGGAACGGGGAAGCAGGACCACCCCTGGAAAAGAAGGGGCCATGAAGCATGAGATCCAAGTAAACCCAGTGTTTCAACACCACCCTCCATACGCAGCAGTAGTGGTGGGTCAGCTTTTTACCTAATTATTAGAAATCCTAAAGTTTGGCTCCAAAATAGTTTTCCACTTCAAGTCCTGTTCTTTTTTTATAATTGTTATTATTTCAAAAATAGCCTTTTTCTTTTAGAAGAGGTCATTCTTCAAATCCAGTTCACACGAGAGGGTTTGGTATGGACAGCGAGTTCCAAATGCACTATATTCAGCAACACTTTAGCGGGTTCCCGCTGTGTCTTAGGCTCTGAGCAGGCACCCCCTCAGGTCTAGAACCCATTATTTAGCTCTTGGCGAGTTTTTACTACTCCTCTTCCTCTCCAGTCACACATCTAAGTCCACCAGACCTTAGACCCTTTGTGAACATTCAACCCCCTCCCTCCTGGTTCATCCATGGCAAGTGGCTTTTATGCTAGGGAGTAGTTTATGTGATTCCCACAAAGCACTTAGCCAGGTGAATGCCAGGAATTTTTGACAGGGTCTGTCTGATTCAAAGGAAACTTGAGTTATAATTCAGAGGAGGGGAAATCAGACCTTCCCTCCGGGTCTGAAGGAACAAACTCCTGGGGGCAGGAGGCTCACCCACCCAACGCCATACCCTCACACACCGTGGGCAACTGGCTGGCTGAATAGCTGATGTGCTGCAGAGCCCCTGGCACAGAGGGGTTGCCTGGCAATCCGGTGGATGGCTTCCTATCTCCCAGGTGAGGACACCACGCGGTGTGGGAGCCTGCTGTGTGTTAGGGACCACATGCGAGTTTTAATGAAGTAACTCCGTCAGTTCTCACTGAAGGCTCTGGGAAGCAGGTGTCATTGCTTCCAGGTCTTTAGGGGGCAGCTGGGGGTCCCAATGGACCCAAGCTCACACTGTGGCCAGTAGAGGCAAGAGATGAAGCTAGACCTCGGATACCATCCCCGCCCTTTGTAAGTCCATCACCCTTGGAAACCGGTTGTAGGTCCATCACCCCGGAAAACCCGCCAGGCCTGACGCACCCCGGTTCTAGCACCCACGACGGCCCCGGTCTCCGGCCCCATCCGTACACGCCTCGCCGCCCTGGCAGGCCCAGATGTGCCCGCTGGAGCGACTCCCCGCGTTCCGGGCGGGGGAACAGGGTGAGTGTGGGAGGGGGGGGGAACAGGTGGAGGAGGGGGGTAAAGTTGGAAGGGAAGGGGAGAGGGCAGGGGGGATCCCCGGGGGAGGGCAGGGGAACAGGGGGAGTGGGAGGGGGGGAACAGGGGGAGTGGGAGGGAGGGTGGGAACAGGGGGAGTGGGAGGGGGGTGAGAACAGGGGGATGGGAGGGGGCGGGTAAAGTTGGAGGGGAAGGGGAGGGGGCAGGGGAACAGGGGGAGTGCGAGGGGGGCGGGTAAAGTTGGAGGGGAAGGGGAGGGGGCAGGGGAACAGGGGGAGTGCGAGGGGGGCGGGTAAAGTTGGAGGGGAAGGGGAGGGGGCAGGGGAACAGGGGGAGTGCGAGGGGGGCGGGTAAAGTTGGAGGGGAAGGGGAGGGGGCAGGGGGATCCCCCGGGGAGGGCGCGGGAGCCACTGGGCGCTGCGTGGGGCTCCGCCCTCGGGGCCGGGCTGGGCCGGGCGGGCGGCGGGCGGCGGGCGGCGGGCGGCGGGCGGGGCCGGGAGCGGGCCGGGCGGCGGGAGGGGCGGGCGGGGAGGGGAGGGCAGGGCCGGCCGCGGGGCGGGGCGGGCGGGCGGGCGGCGGGCAGGGGCGGCCGGAGCCTCGCAGCCGGTGCAGCCGCCGCGGCGATGGGGCTGGAGACGGAGAAGGCGGACGTGCAGCTCTTCATGGACGAGGACGCCTACAGCCAGCACAGCGGCCTGGACTACGGCCCCCCCGACAAGTACGCGGACTCGGACCCGGACCGGGACCCCCACCAGCTCAACTCGCATCTCAAGGTGAAGCCCGGGCGGGGCGGGTCACAACCTGGGCCCGAGGCTAGCCCCAGCCCCACCCCCCACCCCGCCTAGGGGGTGCGGTCCCCCTTCCACCCCCACCCCCAGCTTCTACCCCAGCCCCCCCAGCCCTCCCCACTGGGCGGCCCGCGGGGCCCGGGGACCCGAACCCGCCCGCCGCGGGGCCGCCTGCGGGGCCAGGATCTTTTAGCCACGATTCTGGACGCCGACTTTGGCCCCGAGAGGAGGTGGGCGCCCCTGCCGAGCCCTTCCTTTCCGCCCTCCCCCCGGAGGGCGCCGGGTTCCGGGGGCAGGGTTCCGGGGGCGCGGGTTTGGGGTCATTCGGACCCGCGCCTGGTCCCGCAGGTGGACTTCCAGGACGTGATCGCGGAGCCCGAGGCCACGCACTCCTTCGACAAGGTGTGGATCTGCAGCCATGCCCTCTTCGAGATCAGCAAGTACGTGCTCTACAAGTTCCTGACCGTGTTCCTGGCCGTGCCCCTGGCCTTCGCCGCGGGCATCCTCTTCGCCACCCTCAGCTGCCTGCACATCTGGTGAGAGCCGGGCGGGCCCGCTGCCCCACGGGGAGGCTCCTGGCCCCTGGCCCCTGCCCCCCTCCCCCGCTGGCCTGCCAGGGGAGGACCCGCTTCAGCTCCTCACACCCCGGCGAGAAAGGGCGGCCTGGGAAGTCTGTGTTTTGTTTTTTTCAATATTGGAGGGTGGGGGTGGGGGCGAGGAGAGGCGTGGGCATGGTTAGGAGTTTAAACAGAGGGAATGTCCTGCCTGCAGGCTGGCCCAACTGCCTGTGGAGGTGGGAACCTGTGTTTCCTGCCACAGGCTGTTCTCTCTCTCTCTCTCTCTCTCTCTCTCTCTCTCTCTCTCTCTCTCTCTCTCTCTCTCTCTCAGCTGTGTTGGGACTTGTGCCTCTGCTTTTGGGCAGGGCTCTCTGTGTTTGTTCCATCACTTCTCATGCAGTCACCACCTCTGCTGGGGGTAAAACAAAAGCGATTGGAGCAGAATGCCAGGGGCAGCCCCCCTGGAAAAGGATGTGAAGCCCGCTTATGGCAAAGAGTAGACCAAGTGATGAAAATTCAATCTGCGGGATAATGAGATGAACAGGCCTCCAGATTCCCTTTTCCACTTGTAAACAGCAATTCTAGTGAAAGGGGAAATATATACAGAAACCTACTGGATACTGATAGGATACTTTGAGTAACTTTGTTCACACTCAAAATGCATCCTAAAGCTTTGGAGAACAGTTCCAAGTATCAAAAACTTTTTAAGGGAAAATGACATATTTTACCAAGAAGTTTTGTTGTTGTCGTTTTAAAAGGTACCCGCTTTATTTGAGAGGCAACAGGTGCCAAGCTTGTGCTTTAGGTCCATCCTGGTCAAATACGTAACCCCAGATGCCACCATGTCTTCCTTAATCACTTTAGATGATGGTTTTGCTGCACCCTGACTTACAGTGTGTGTTCCCTGTTAGAAGTTACAAAAGTTAGTCTCCATTCCCCTTTACCATCTGAATCAAGTTCTTTAGTCAATTAGCACAGCTGTTTAGTTCCTCAAAAAAACTTTATTGAGTGCTTAGTTTGTGCAGGGCACTGGGCCCAGCATGAGTAAGATGCAGGGTCTGCCTTCAGCTTCTTCACAGCACATCAGAGCTGGGTACCAAGGTGGACGCTGAGAAAACTCACGTAAACCTGTGGAGGAGGAGGCACAGGGAAGGCTCTGTGGACAGAGAAAAGAGTCTAAAAAGGGTAAATAAAAGTTCACCAAATAGGCAAAGGATAAACAATGCACATCAATTCAGTCTGATCACTAAAGATTGTAAATAACTAAACTATGATGAAAATGCCGAAAGACTGCTAAAGGAATAAAACCTTTGCCTTGATATATCAGCAGGTCCACAAAGGCCAAGTGTATAGTTAGTTCATATTCTGACATTAGCACATGGGTTGTTTTTAATCTTCACTCGAGGATATGTTTGTGAGTGTGTTTTAATTTTGGGGAGAAAGAGAAACATCAATGAGAGAGTGAAACATCAATGGGTTGCCTCCCATGCTCACCCCAACCAGGGATGGAACCCACAACCTTTTGGTGTAAAGGATGATACTGAAACTAACAGCCACTCTGCCAGGGCAACACATGGACTTTTTAAAATTCAGCAGTTAAAATTGTGTATTCCTAATGACTAAAACCAGTCATCTAACCTCTGTGTTAGTTTTCTCGCTTTCAAAAATTCAAAAGACTGAGAAGCCACAGCGTGTTGTGAAATGCTGGTTTGAAGCTGTTTGGAAATGTAGAGTGCCATGTTTGTAGCCAACAAAGCCAGGTTTTCCCGAAGCACTTGTGGAAGACGAAAACAAAAAGGTTTACATTTTCTAAATGGTGGAAAGATATAAATCCAACTACATTTAACCAAATGATGCTTCTCTCCACCTGGCTTCCTGAGACCCATGGGGGCTTTTGTGTACGGTGAATCATCAAACCAGTTCTTTTTCAGCCACATGGAATACATTATTTAACTTCAGCTTTCTTCTCAGATTGCATTCATGTGGTACATTAATATTTAACCGACATACATTTGTCATCAGACAGCTTTGATTACACGTAGATAAGTCTAACAAAAATGCTTAAAAGTTAGTTTATACTTGAGTAAAATAGATTAATCTTTAGTGGCTTACATGACATGATAGGAATGGATCAAGTAGAGACCTTAGAGAATATCAAACCTATCTGAGTAAGTTTGTGCTCCCTCCCCCTCTCTCTCTCTCTCACTTGTTCTTGCCTTACTCCTTCTCTTTTGATAGGGAGTATGTGACCAAAGCTATAAAAACATCACATGATCACAATGGGTCTTATTTTTAAATTCTTTAAAGAAACAAGTGAAAATAAGAATAACAACAACAAACAAACAAAACAGCAACCCTGATCTCATTCTGGCGATGTGTCCCAGGCCCCAGCTCAGGCCCTTAAGACCCAGGGAACTGGTTTGATTCCACACCATGCTCAGGCTGAGGTAGCCACCACTTGGCAATTGCAAGTTATTGATCACAAGTAAATCATACCAAGAAATGTTGGCTGGAGCTCCCTTACCCCTTATATTTGCTGGGATACAATTCAAATACATATTCCTGTGATGGGAATGCAAGCAGTATCAGTCTCATTTTCCGGAAGATTTTTTAATCAAGCAAATTGCTATGGCAGTTCAATCTGCATGACACTATTGTTAACACAAAGCTAAATAGAAGTCTCTGTCCAAAGAGCTTTATTATTGAATGGAGGAATACATACTCTTATAAATTATAAGATTTAAGAAGTTTTGGCCCTGATCAGTGTGGGTCAGTTGGTTGGAGCTATTGTCCCATACACCAAAAAGTAATGGATTCAATTCCCCATCAGGGTACATACCCAAGTTGAGAGTTTGATTCCTAGTCATATCTCTCTCTCTCTCTCTCTCTCTCTCTCTCTCTCTCTCTCTCTCTCTCTCTCTCTCTCCTTTCTCTCTCTCTCTCTCTCTTCCTTCTTCTCTCTAAATCAATTTTTTTAAAACATTGGAAGAAGTATTTAGGTTGGCCACATTGAGCTTCAACCAAGTTTTGGGTTGAAGGGGTACTATTTAGGATGTTGAGGAAACAGTTAGTTTGATCTTTGGATTCTTTGACCCAAAGTGAGAGAACAACTTAAAGAAAATAACATTTAAATGAGTTCAGCGCATCCTATGAACTAACATCCTCCAGTGTGGGCACTGCAGTCTGCTGAACTGGAAAATCCACTTTTGTCCCGAGCTTAATTCCCTCTGGAGACAAGAAAATCTAACAACTTATGAAGATGATAAATCTCTTAGCCTAAGGGAGAAAGGCAAGTTAATTATATTTTGACTGAAGTGGATTTGATTAAGAAGTTTTCTGATCTAAAGTTAAGGATGTCAATTTGAGATTATTTGGTTATAATTGTTTTCATTCTGACTTCAAAATAGTTCTATTTATTATAATGACAGTACCATTTGGATATTTCAAGGGCACATAATCCTGATTGCCACTCTAAGATTTCCAAACCATACTTTAATTTGTAGTCATTTACCCAAAGCCACACATAAAATGAGAAACTAATGCAATAAGGAAGCCAGACTTGCCATCATTCAAGTTTCTATTCAACTCTTTAGCTCTGAAACACCTAGTAATTAATTTTCTTTCGAGATTGCTTCAAGTCTTTAGTACTTAGAACAAAACACAAGATAAGTATAATCTGTAAACAGTCAATATGAATAATTCAGGGTTCTAAAAATACTGCAATCAGACAGTTGCCTGATCTTTCCTTCTCTTTGGAATAAGTACCACAGACCTTTACTTAAGTCACATTTTAAAAGCAAGCCAAGAACATCAACCCTACTTCCTGGTAATAATCAAAATTCTATGAGGCTGCCGTCAAGGCCTGAGAAATCACAAACACCACTGTGCTCCAAGGGCAGCACTGTGGCAGGCAGCATTCTTCAGAGGGTGACAGAGAAGAGCCATGTTCACAGGAATATGAGACTATGCAGTTACTTCAAGAAAAGGCATATGAATAAAATAATTTCAATGCCGTCTAGTTTTCTTCATCTAAGAAATTGCAGGACTCTTTTAACTATACCACTCAACCCTTTTCAGTACATGTAATTATTGTGAAAAATTAAAAGATAGCCCTGACCAGTTTGGCTCAGTGGATAGAGCGTCAGCCTGTAAACTGAAGGGTCCTGGGATCGATTCCGGTCAAGGGCATGTACCTTGGTTGTGGGTACATCCCTAGTAGGGGAGGGGGGGGCCTGCAGGGGGCAGCTGATTGATATTTCTAACTCTCTATCCCTCACCCTTCCTCTCTGTAAAAGATCAATAATATTAATGTAAACAGATTGCTAAATTCACTTCACCTCAAACATTTACTACAGATCAAGGATGTCCTCACTTAAAGAACTTAAAGTTTGTTTCAATATGTTAGATGCACAAACACACACGTGCGAGCCTTCAGTCCAGCCTGTCCTAAGGGGAAGGGAAGGGGGATGAGGCAACAGGAAAGGCTACAGGAATTAGAACCACAGAGAAAGGGGAAGAGTTAGGCAGGTTAATGTTTAAGGGTAAAGGCCAGATCAGTTTACGGTTTAGTTTATTCTTTTGTTTTACTGATTCAGATAGCATACCACCAAAAAAAAATAAGATTACTGTTTGTCATCTACCTGCCCGTTTATTTTTTAAGCAACTTCTGTGCATCTTATCACTATGTGGGTCACTTTATTTGTTTCAAAAGTTCAGCCAAATTTAGGTGAGTCAGGCCATTGGTATATTTTTTCACGCATGGGCAAGAGCCAGCGGCCTTATTTGGTACCACTGATAATCCTTACACATCTCTCTTCCTCCATCCCAGGATTATCATGCCTTTTATAAAGACCTGCCTGATGGTCCAGCCTTCGGTGCAGACCATCTGGAAGAGCGTGACAGACACGGTCATCGCCCCGCTGTGTCTGAGCACAGGACGCATCTTCTCGTCGGTCAGCGTGCAGCTGAGCCGAGACTGAACACGTGTTCCCAGGTCTGCCGAGGTGGAGACTGCCCTAATTCTTGGTTGTTACAGCATAAAGCGACTACTGTTCTGTTCGTTTCCCAATTTGTGCTCATTAAGAAAACTGTTAAGATGGACAGCCACAATTAGAAATGTTCATTGGCAAGTGTTTTCCAAGTAATGCTTTTATAATTAATAACCTCGGGTTTCATATCTCACTTTACAACCAGAATTATACAATAGGTTGGCAACACTATTTTTAAAGGCAAACACTTTTTGCTTTAGTACAAAAGTATATCTTTTGTCATGATGAATTTATAATGATCAAGATACATTTCTCTCAAATACTACAGGGGTTTTTTGCACAACTGCCATAAAAATATGAGATATCTTCTTCTTATTATTTTTTTTACTCTGGAAGTAATACTGTTAAATTATCTTTGCAGAAAAAGTCATAGGGATTCTTAGCAATAATATATACAAAGATTCTAGAAATTGCAGAAATGAAAGCATACCATAGTGATAGGGGCTATCAAATATAATAAATGTGAAAATTGATTTATGCAAATGTGTTCCTTTAAATAAAGTATTGTTAATCTATAATCCTATTTAACAAGAAATTTCATTTTACTGTATATTTTGTACTTAATGTAAATGTTGCTCTAATCAGATTGCTTTAAAGCACTTTTATTATATTTGTATTCTTGTTGAGCTAATATATAGAATGAGTAACTGTAACTCCCACAGGAATTTTTACTGCTGAGAATGCACTGTCTTGATTCTGTGAGCATTTATATCTTATTTGGGGAAAGAATGTAAAAGACCAATGTACTGGCTTTTCTTTCTAACTTTACAAGCAAAACCCTGAAATGTTTTATAAGTAATACTGTTTATCTTAAAATAGTCTCTATCCAATTCTTACTTTGTTTAGGCTGTACTTTCTTTCTTATAGTTAGAAATTAAATCAGTATGCTACATTCCTATTAATGTTTCATTTTACCTTCAAATAATATTGGTGCTATTTAATAACATTTACAATAAAGCCTATTTCCTAGACTTAAGATTCATGTAGAGAGACTTCCAAGAAAGTTGTCAATTTGTTGGGTCTATGCTACTGAGCTTTTATTTATAAATGAAACACTAACAGCTATAAACGTTCAATATGTTGTCTAACATGGGTTTTGTTACACAGTATAGAATTATTCTTATCATTGTGAACTGCAGAATCCTACTTTGAAGTTATGCATTGCTTTTATTTTAGAAATCTCATTATTCCAAAATGATTACTTACATAAAAGTTGTCTATGATGTGAGTAGTTACTACAATTTACACATCTTAAAAGTGTGAAATGCTCAAATTTCAGGTTTACTATAAGAACCTGAATTAACATTCCTTTAATATCTTCATAGATGACAAATCTTTATTCAAATAGTACTTTTATTTTTCCAAATTGCCAAGACTGGTGAAATAAAGGATGATTTGTTGGAATATTATTTGAGACCAAAGCAAATTAATGATTAAATTATGAAACTTGTATTTTTCTGAAAGTAACCTCAAAAGAGGCTTGAAAACCTATCTTAGGCCATGATAGCATCCTTAGAAAAGATGCTCAATGAAAGCATTTCCACTCATTTGGCAAGTTTTAAAATCAAAATATATATACAAAGTCACATAACAACCAAGTAACCTTTTTAAATGATAAATATGAGCTCCTTATTTCTTAATAGCATTGGATACTTTCAAAGTGAATTTTTATTGAGATTTGCCATTAACTATTTGAAAAACTGAACTTTTGTATCAAGATGATCCAGGTCACATGTGTAAACATGTTTGTCCTTTAGCTGGGTGTCTATGAGAGGTGGGTGATTTGGAGACTTTCTCAATAACCATAATAAACTTTCTAAAAACCCATCGATACATTCATTGTTTTTCTTACATTAAATATAGAATTGATCAATAAATATTCTTTTAAAACTAATTACCTTCTTAAAAACTCATAATCCATTTAAAAACATGAATTATTGCTTATTTGGGAATGTATTGGTGAAAAATTATGAGATTGGTAATTTAATTCTTTCGTTTTTCCTGCACTTAAGAGATCTCCTATTAATTTTTCTATCATTGGATGAAAAGTATGGAATAGCTTGCTCATAAACCCACTATATTTCATCTTCATGAAATGAAGTCTCTTCCTAATCCTGAATAAATTGATATTTTGTTTTCAAATTTTTTTTTAATGAGAAAATAATATAAATCATATGTTCTTGGATACTGGTACTATGAACCCATACTAGAATCTAAAATTATTTCTAGAAAGTGAGTATGTGAAGTGTATTTGCTGATTTAGTGTAGATTTTTTTGTTGTCAGTTTATCTGGAAAATTTACCAACTTCTAATAATAAGGCAGGTGTCTGGCTTTTTAAAATGCTCTTTATAGTTTCAAAGAACTTTGAAAGTCCCTTTTCAGTCATCCACATCCCATGGATTTATTTAGAGGCTTCCTTGGGAAGCTATTGGATCTAATGAGAAAAGATCAAGCATCTGGATTCCAGCCTCAGCACTGCCTTTACTGAGGTGTGTCACCTATGGCAAATGGTTTAATCTCAGGGGTCTCAATTTTTCTAATCTTTAAGGGGAGGACTGAACTAAGAAAAAAAAAAATCTCTCAGGAGCTTTCTAGCGCCTTGATTTCTGAAGCCTCTGTAAGATGAAGTCTTGGCTACATATTGAAAACCAGTCAAAACCGGTTTGGCTCAGTGAATAGACCATCAGCCTGCGAACTGAAAGGTCCTGGGTTTGATTCCAGGCAAGGGCAAATACCTTGGTTGCAGGCACATCCCCAGTGGGAGTTGTGCGGGAGGCAGCTGATCAATGTTTCTCTCTCATCGATGTCTCCAACTCTTTCTCTCCCTTCCTCTCTGTAAAAATTCAATAAAATATATATTTTAAAAAAGAGAAAAAAAGAAAACCTATCTGTTCAGTGCAGGAATTTTTAAAAATCATGGATTTTCTATTAATTATAGGGCTGGGTGCTACAAACATAAATAATGCATCAGTTTTTCATTCTTCAGTTGATTGTGAAACTGTGTATGTGGCTTTGATTCTTCATGACAGGAATTCTTAGATTTATAACAATTTTAAGTCTTTATCATGATGACATTTTCCCCAAAAAATAATGTGACTCCATAGTTTAAATTAATTAAAATGTGTTTCATTTGAAGGTTTCTCTACCAAGATCACTGCTAGACTGTCATAACCATTGCTGTCTCCATCCTTTGCCCAGCTACTTGCTACAGCCTGTTAACTGGCCTCACTCCCAGCCTTCAATATGGCCTCCTCCACGCCATCTTCCCCTCCAAACAAAGGGATCCCATCAAGACTTCCTGGTCAAAATTATCAATTGCATACGCCTGCCCTTACAATAAAACCCAATCTCTTGCACAGTGTACAAAGGCCATCACTATTGCTCCTCTGTCATCGGTAGCCCTCATTGAAGAGCCAGCTCTTTCCTGCCCCCAGGCCAGGATCACCCTTCTCCTCGGGGCAATCTAGCCCCTTCTGTTTCTAAAACTCCTCCACATTAAGAGCCTCTTCATATAAAATCTTGGACAAACGCCAATTATCACTTATCACACCAGTAAAACTAGCCCTTGTTAACTAACCCTACTTGGTTACTAGTTAGAATGAAAAGCATGACTTCGTTTTTGTTTCCTGCGATTCTGAAATGGTGCCCAGCACTTGGTGAGCACAATCAATATTTTTGAATGAATGACTATGTGAATAAATAATTAAAGAAAACTTGGGATGATTTCAGAGCTAGCATGGAAATCATGTTTTGACTTCAAAAATTTCTTCATTTGCAAGAGGGATATGAAATGGACTAATTCTAGTAATTACTCCCCATTCTCTTATCTGAAATTTATTTAGCATCTTCAGGGACATAAAGCACTAACACCTGGAAACTAATTTGGAAGCATACTTTCTAGCATTTTAGAATGTTGCTATTTCTTCAACTATCCTATCTCCCATTTTCAAATTTATAATACTAAAAGCATTGTGTTTATAGCACTCTACACTTTATAAAACACAGACCTATACATTGTCTCATTTAAACCCAGGCCAAATTAAATTGCGTAGCAGAGAAATCATATAAATAATAGCTCTAGCCCTAACCAGTTTGGCTGAGAGGATAGAGCATCAGCCCTCAGACTGAAGAGTCCTGGGTTTGATTCTGGTCAAGGCCATATAACTTGGTTGTGGCTCAATCCCCTGTAGGGGGCTGCAAGAGGCAGCTGATCAGTGTTTCTTGGTCTTCAGTGTTTCTAACTCTCTATCTCTCTCCCTTCCTCTCTGTAAAAAAATCAATAAAGCTCTAACTAGTTTGGTTCAGTGGATGGAGCGTCAGCCTGAGAACTGAAGGGCCCCAGGTTTGATTCCTGTCGAGGGCATGTGCCTTGGTTGCGGGCACATCCCCAGTGGGGAGTGTGCAGTAGGCAGCTGATCGATGTTTCTCTCTCATTGATAGTTCCATCTCTCTGTCCCTCTCTCTTTCTCTCTGTAAAAAATCAATAAAATATCTTTTCTTAAATCAATAAAAATGTATTTTTTTAAAAAATAATAATAGCCGAAACCGGTTTGGCTCAGTGGTAGAGCGTCGGTCTGCAGACTGAAAGGTCCCGGGTTTGATTCCGGTCAGGTCATGTACATTGGTTGCGGGCACATCCCCGGTTGGGGATGTGCAAGAGGCAGCTGGTCGACGTTTCTCTCTCATCGACGTTTCTAGCTCTCTATCTCTCTCTCTTCCTCTCTGTAAAAAATCAATAAAATATATTGAATAATAATAATAATAATAATAATAGCTCTATTTCTATAGCTTGAAACTTTGTCATTTTAGAATGTTTATTTAAGAGAACAATAAGTTAAAGAATTTTTACAAGGTTACAAATTAACAATTATTTTTTAAAAATTATGTGGTGCTACAATAAAAAATTACCAGGCTAATGCAATTAATCACA